CGGCTCGCTGTCGTTGGTTAAGATTTGTGTTGATCTCGTCTTGTCGATTTTGGTAGGCGCCGTCTTGTTTGCGCATGGATAAGCCAGTCGGCTCATCTGGTGAGTCCGGAACAGCCATCTCAAGGTACTCGTCCTTGTTAAAACCGGGCGCATGGGGAAGCTCGATTGTGAATGCGCCGCCGCCAGGGGTTCGTGACGCACCGGGCGGTGTGGGTTGCTTTGGTGCCAACGCAGGAGCTAGTTGAGGGGGCGCAGGTTGAATGGCGATAGGTTGGGAAGGAGTGGGTTGAGCGGGTTGCTCTGGTTGGGCAGGAAGTTGCGCAGGTGCGGGCTGAGGAGTTTGCTGGGCCGACTCAAGCTTCACAGGTTTTTGAGGTTGTGTGGGTGTGGGTGTTCGCTGCGCGGAAGGAGCCTGGGCTGGAGTCGCGACTTCCTTCTCTTTTGACGACTTGCGAATGGGTTGTGGTGGTGCCGAATGCTCAGTAACTTCTACGTAGGCGCTCGGATCGAATTTCTCAGAAGGAATCGCGACCTCAAATTTGAAATTGTTCCTTTGATGCGGGTCTGGGTGCATCGATGAAAGTCTCGGATATGATGCAGAGCTCTTTGGTGTTGATGGAGGCTGCTGCGACGGTTGAGCAGGCGTCGCCTGTCCGTTCGGAGGTGCAAGCCCAGCGGCCCCGGGAGGCGGTTTGATGAAAGTCGGAGCTCTGTCGAACATCATCTTGGCCACGGGAGACAAGCCCGCACTCAAGCTCTGATAGCCACCCGTTGGGCTCACATTCGAGTTAAGGTTCGGCTTCGGTACGGACTTGAACTTGCTGTACGGACCATTGTGGTTAATACGAAGCGTCTCTCTCCGACACTGCACGCCACTCACTAGTAAGTCCGTTGGTTCGGCTTCAGGTCGTGGAGCACATGATCAACGGCATATTTCAGGTGTTTCAACCCGTGATTCTGGTTCGGTCCGGTCGCCTCTTTATTGAGGTTGTCGAACTCCTGGCTGTTGAAGAGATGTGATACACTCGCTGCAAGCGAGCCGGAACCAATGGTCGGATCCGGGATGAGATCTAATTTGCGTGAGCACAGAAAATCAGCAGCCCCTAGCATCAAACCCAAACATACCAGAGGTAAACGGGATGACAGAGGTTTGTGGCGAGAATGGCAACGCCTCTGGGAGAGTGAAAGGTCGCGCCATCGGGCGCTGCTCCGTCTGAGGCTGCATGTAGCCGCCATTGGGAGGGCCATTAGGCATGACCCCTTGGCTGTTCACCATTTTGACGAGTGTCCTCGGACGTCGATCCTCTCATACAGACATGTTCTCTCGGAATGGTCAAAGAAATCGAAGTCGGTGGGACGTCAAGGTCGGTTGGCGGGTCGCGCGCTCGAGGGTGGTCGCATCTACGTGAAGGGAAAGGTCTTTCGTTTACGAAGGCGGAAGAAATAGTCTATTAAAATGTGTTCGTCAGAAGATAGGCAGTTGCATCGTGATTTTCGTCGATTAATGGCAGGTTCCGCGGGACAGATGTCGAGTCGCGATCACGTCGACGTCAAGGTCGTGATTGGAATGGGAAAGTGGGAAGGTTGCGACAGCCTTGCGTAGAAAGACCCTTGTCAGTTGGGTGGTCTGTGTACAAGCTTTGCCCAGCCAGTGGCCAGTTGTTCCGTTCCTGCCTGTTTCCCCTGGGGCGCGGGCGGTTGTTGCCTTGCCTTGTCTTGTCTTGTGTCGGTTAATCCGGCACCAGCTGGCAGGCTCCAGGTCCTGCCTGTCTTGTCTCCCAAACCGATAAGAGAACCGATAAGAGTGGGAAGAAAGCCGATAACGATAAGACGATCTGAAAATCTTCCAGCAGAAATATTTTGTCGGTCTTTCCGCGCGATACTTCCGAGCCCATTCATATTTGGAGGTTGCATTGCAGCACTACGTCAACCAGCACAACCGCCACAACGAACAATCACCGTCACCATGTCTGCCATTGGAACCCTCGTCTTCTGCGTCGACTGCGGCAACCTGCTGCCTGCGTCCATGGGCTCTGAGAAGAACAAGCTCATCTGCGATTGCTGCGGCGCCGAGAACAAGGGTACGTCGATCGCCGGCGCATTCGATCTGATCTGCCAATTGCTGGCCCAATTCTGCGACTGAGAGCTAACACTTCACTTTCACAGACACCGGATCCAAGACCATCATCACCCAGACGAAGCCCTCCGATTTCCCCTCCCAGCTCCGCCAAAAGCTTCAATCGAACGTCCAGGCCCTCGACAAGAACATCAGCACCGAGGCCACGATCAAGGAGACATGCCCCAAGTGCGGAAGAGAGGAGGTCCGCTTCTCTGCGGTCCAACTGCGCAGTGCAGACGAAGGCAGTACCATCTTTTTCAATTGCGACTGTGGCTTCAGGTATGCCCTCCTCACCGACAACTTTTGGGAACCCGAGTGAGAGAGACGAACGAAAATGCTGACGATTTCCAGGTGGTCTCATAACAACTGAAATACACTAAACTTTTTACCCGTCGCTTTTAAGTACCTTATGCCGACTAATGATCTATATCCCACCGCGCGACACCCAAAAGAACTACCTATATATCTCCCGCTTCCCTTTTTGTGCTCTTCCTCAAGCAGCCACCTTGGCGCCCTCCGGAATCAACGCGTACTCCGTCTGCCCGCTCGACTCGAACTCGGCCATGTCCAGCGCGACAATCACACTCTCCCGCACAACCTTCTCCTTGTCGTGCAGGAACTTGAGCAGCGTCGCCTCGACGCCCTCCTCATCGCCCAAGCTGCCCAGCGCCTCGGCCGCCTCGTGGCGCACCATGCTCGCCTCCTCCGTGTTGCTCAGCGCCTCCGTCAGCGCCGGGATCGACGCCGGGTGCGACAGCTGGCCGAAGACGAAGGCGATCTCGTGGCGGAACAGCGCGGAGGAGTCGGCGAAGCCCTTGGCCAGGGCCAGCACGGCGGGGACGGCGGTGGGGAGGTCGGGGGGCGAGGCGAGGTCGCGCAGGGCGAACATGGCGCGGTAGCGCAGGAAGAGCGGCAGCGAGGCGTCCATCAGGGTATTTTCGAGCTCCGGGACGGTGCGCTGCGACATCTCCATGGGCGGCGCGGGGTCTACGGATGTGAAGTCGCTGTTTTGCGCGGGTCACGGCGTTAGCAAACATAGAGCATAGACAAAACATGATACCCTTCCTTTCCAAAAGAAAGGACTGTCGTTTGTAGTGCCAGTGTAGTGTGCTCCATACCTCTTTTGAAGCTTCTCCAGCTTCCTCTGTTCAGAGTTCTGCCACTCAATAAGATCGATAGCGATCTCGCACGTCTCAACAATACACACGTCCTCGCCGTCGCGGTCCCTGAACTCCTTCAGGATCTCAAGCTGCCCCGCGTCGCCCAGCGCGCCGAGCGCCTCGGCGGCCTCGTGGCGGCACATGGGGTCCTCCTTCAGGTCGCGCAGGACGGCGCGCAGCGGCTCGACCGCATACAGGTTGCCGGTCTGGCCGAGGCAGTAGGCGAGCTCGTGCTTGAGCAGGGCCGAGGGGGATGCGAAGCCGGCGGCGATGGCGTCGATGGCGGCCTCGGCGTCGGCGCTCTTGTCCTTACAGGCGACGTGCTTGAGGGAGAAGAGGGCGCGGAAGCGGATGGGCAGGGGGCTCGCCTCGGAGGTGAGGGTCTTGCGCAGCTCGGCGACGGTCTGCGAGGTGGTCTTTTCGCTGGAGGCGGCGTTGGCGGCGGCGAGGGCCTCGAGGGTCTCGCGGGACTCGGGCATGTCTACGGCGGAGGGCGACATTTTTGCTGTTGGTCTAATGGGGGTATCTGTGCCTTGGGGAAAACGAAAAAGAGTCAGAGGAAAAGAAAGAGACGAAATATCAAAGCTGGAAAGTAAGGCGAAGAAGGAAGAGGGTAAAGGCGTGGGCTGATTTTCTTAGCAGGAAAGGGCTTTCTTACGTACGAGGGGGGAAAAGAGTTACCTCCGAGGTGCGGTAGTGGTGGTGCGGCGGCGCGGCGTCCGTCAGTCAGTCACTGTTCGGATCTGATAAAGATTGTAGAAATTTTGCGAGGGGCAGCGGCGGGGTGATTTGGCGCCCGATAAGATCTTCCAGGTTGCCCCTCACTTAAGCGCTGCTCGTGGAACGCTGAAGGGCCCTGTAACGGTTCCACCCTCTCAGGCTGCAGCCCCGACGATAGCGGGCCACGCTGCCCACCACAGTCGCATTTTCTGCAAGAAATCAAGCGCGGCATTGATGGAGCTGACACGACTCGACTGCGTTCGGACGCTTCAAGGACTGGCAAACTGTCATCCGACGCAGGGAATAGTAAGCCTTCAATGGTCTATTAGTCTAGTTGGTTAGGACGTCGGATTCTGATTCATACCCAGAACCTTCCGTAGGCCCAGGTTCGAATCCTGGATGGACCTTTCTTTTGCCAAATCCCATGATCCTTTATGAGATGTTCAGGTTTGTTTTGCGTTTTTTGCTGTTTCTATGCTAGACTTTGATCTCTGTTATCTCCCCATGACCAGATGACAGCAAACTTTGTCATCTCAGTCTCGCAGTTATTCAGCGCTGGTTGGTGACTCTATTAAGTGGGGTCGACCGTCTCCGCGGATTCGTGAGGCTCGGTTTCGCCACCACTCACAGCGACTTCTTTTGTCACCCTTCAACTCTCACTTCAACGATTCGACATAAACATAAGTGGTACGACAACCGTATCTTGGAAGCAAACCGCGGATATACCAAAGGAGAACACAATAAGTAAGTCATCCGCCTAAACAGACTTCTCAAGATCTCATTACTAACCCCGCGACAGAACACGAGTTGAACCCGGCTTATCAATCAACTTCACCTCACTCAACCTCAGTCCGGTCCCGGACCAAGCCTGGCCTTGATTCACCCTTGCCTCTTCATCTCACTTTCAACTTCTGCCATTCTCACATCTCACACCTAACCCTCGCCAACCTCAAAGCACACTCATCTCCCAACCTATCCGCCTCCGGGCAACCCCCTCCAAAATGGCACCCTCCCTCGAAGCAGACACCGACGCCTCAACCCTCGACGTCCTCGCCAACCCCCAAAAACAAGCTCCCCAGCTCGTCGCCCCGGAACCAGAACACTGTCCCGGTCCCGAGGCCCCGACCGCCGGCACCGCCTCCTCCTGCGACGGCTGCCCAAACCAGCAAATCTGCGCCGCGACCGCCAAAACCGGGCCCGACCCCGACATCCCCCTCATCTCCGCCCGCCTCTCCGGCATCCGCCACAAGATCCTCGTGCTCTCCGGCAAAGGCGGCGTCGGCAAGTCCACCTTCACCACCCTCCTCGCGCAGGCCTTCGCCACCAACGAGGACTCCTCCGTCGGCATCATGGACACCGACATCTGCGGGCCCTCCATCCCCAAGATGCTCGGCGTCGAGGCCGAGACCATCCACGTCTCCGGCGCCGGCTGGTCCCCCGTCTGGGTCATGGACAACCTCGGCGTCATGTCCATCCAGTTCATGCTGCCTGACCGTAACGCCGCCATCATCTGGCGCGGCGCCAAGAAGAACGGCCTCATCAAGCAGTTCCTCAAGGACGTTGAGTGGGGCGACCTCGACTTTCTCCTGGTCGACACGCCCCCTGGCACCTCGGACGAGCACCTCTCCGTCAACACCTTCCTGCGCGACTCGGGCATCGACGGCGCCGTCGTCGTGACTACCCCGCAAGAAGTCTCGCTGCTCGACGTCCGCAAGGAGATCGACTTCTGCCGCAAGGCCGGCATCCGCATCCTCGGCCTCGCGGAGAACATGGCCGGCTTCGTGTGCCCCAAGTGCACGAACCAGAGCGAGATCTTCCGCGCGACGACCGGCGGCGGGCGCGCGCTGGCGCAGGAGATGGGCATTCCGTTCCTGGGCAGCGTGCCGCTGGACCCGCGGATCGGCATCGCATGCGACTACGGCGAGAGCTTCTTTGACAACTTCCCTGACAGCCCCGCGTGTGTTGCGTTCAAGGAGGTTGTGAGGAACGTGAGCAGGCAGATGGGCTTGAATGACAAGGAGGTTTTGCCAGAGTGAGGAATTTGTTTTAGGCTTTTGGATGTTTGGCGTTTAATGAGTTTCACACGTTCAATCAAGATATCCCTTTTTCTTCTGCAAATGCAGTGTTTGACTTCATGGCTCGTATTATGTGCATATCGCATGCCATTAACTCCGTTGGTCGGTGGCCATGCCTCTCTGTGTATGTATGCCTCCACTTCATGCTTCCTCCGCCTACGCAGCAGACCCCAGCTTGGACGGTATCTCCTCCAGGTCCTCGGCTTCTTGGATGTCAATCACGCGGCCGACCTCGCTCGTATTCCGCATCAGCTCCTTGGCGCCGGCGTAGAGCATGCGGATCTCATTGTTGCAGGTGATGGGGAGGTAGTAGATCAGGACGTACGGCACCGACAGGCGGCCGGAGGGCTGTGTACACCGCATATTAGCCTCGTCGTCTCCTTTCCGTGCGCCATGCATGCCAGGGAGCAACGTACCAGTGTGAGAGGGTAGCTCAGCAACACGAATCTCGGACTGTGGTCCGGCAGGTCGTCGCCAATCTCCTCGAGGCTCTTGTACACCACCTTGTCGTCATCCTGCTTGATCTCGTGCGTGTTCTTGTCAATGTAGTCTGGGGAGAAAGAGGTTGCCACCGTCGTTAGCCAAACCACTTCCCATCGCAAAGGCCTGCGTCCAATTTCGGACCAGCAACAGAGACGTACATACAGATGACAGCTTGCGGGTCATTCGACCGCGAGGTTCCCAGACGGAACTTGCGCAGGTGGTCCTTGGTCTCCTGCGAGAAGGTATACAGCCTCGACTCGGACGCCTACATGGTGCACGGAAGACAGCAACGGTCAGCGGGGATTCGGATGAGACTGGCGGCACACGGCCGATGGCGGGGAGCGGGGGAAAGGGAAGCTTGCGCACCATGGCCTTTAGTTTCGGAGCGGGGTGATGGAGATGTATTCGGGATTGCTCGAGGAATGCGACAAAGTGTCTAGCGGGACTACAGCTGGACAGCTAGCGAAAAGTGAAATTGATTAACAGAGTCGTGCCGCTCGTCGTGAAGGCGTTGTTGACAAATGGTGTTCAGGGTCCAAGGTCCGGTGCTTGGTACGAGCCGCAACACTAAGAACGTCAGATTGAAAAGTCAAGCCACCCCTCCCTCGACCACGTCTCCCCTCCCCCGCCCTCCTTTGGGCGACAGTTGAGACCAGCCCGCGCCCCGCCATTCTCAGCAACTTTAGCAGCGGGCACAGCACCAGCACCGAGCTGTGAGAGAGGGTCGCCCCACCTGTGACCTCACCCACCTGTGACCGCACTCAACCCGCAGCAGCAGCGTGGAGCTCGCACCATGTCAGTGACGCCGACATTCTCCCAGCGCACCTCCGAAGAGCGGCATTCCCGCGCTTTTCCTACGAAGCTCGCGATTCGATGCAATCCAATTACCGTCTCCTTTCTCCTTCTCACTCCTGCGTATCCGCTTCGTCTGAGAATTTGATTCGTGCGAATCCATCAACCTTTGCCAGCCTCCCCCCCAAAAGACGCAATAACGTAGCAGCAGCTCAGCCAGTCAGCTTGAGTGTGAGGTGCAGCTAACAGCAGCCAGTTGCATATCCCAACTCATTCTCGCTCACTGTAACCTGGACCACTTCTTTTTTCCCTCCCCTCTACATCAACTGACAACAAGACAGAGAACTCCATGTTCTCCCGCCTCTCCCAGCTATCTCGCCATCTCCCCTCGGCCTACACAATCGCAAAGCCCGTCAAGCCTTTCGTTCCGGTATCCGGTCTTGCCCGTAGAATCATGGTCTCAGCCGACGAGCGAAACACCCGCACCATCCACACCGCGGCGTGTCTGATCATCGGCGATGAAGTCCTTGGTGGAAAGGTTAGAGAGCAACAAAACCCGCTCAATGCTACGTCTGACCATGGTGACTGATATTGTGATTGCATCCGTAGACGGTTGATGTGAGTGCGGCCCAGCGCCGTGGGATCGGCAGAAAGGCTTGAGCCGTATTAACCCATTGGCTAGACCAACTCGGCCTACATGGCCAAGTGGTGTTTCAACCTCGGCATAGTATGTTGACTTCCGGAACCCCAAAGGCTAGATTGATGTTGATTGGGGACAGAACTTGAAAAGAGTTGAAGTCATTGAGGACGACGAGAGTGAGATCGTCGAGGCTGTTCGGCGGATGAGTGACCGCTACGACTTCGTCGTCACCAGGTTTGCATTCCAAAGTGAAGCCTTCAAGCTATCAATAGCTGACAAAACATCATAGTGGCGGCATTGGCCCAACGTAGGTTACCCAAGGGCAAACCTTGAACATCGCTCATCAGTGGCAGGCACGACGACATCACCTACCAGTCAATAGCCAAGGCTTTCGACCTGCCTCTGGTCCTCAACCAGGGTGCCTTTGAGCGCATGAAGAAGCTCTCTAAGCCGCACCCCAACCAGCCCGACTTTGACTGGAATGTTGACTCCCCCGCCCTGCAGGCCAAGTTGCGCATGGTCATCCTGCCCACTGATGAGAAGCGTGACGCCAGCAAGCAGTTTCTTTTCCCTCACGAGGACCTCTGGGTTCCCGTCAACGTTGTCAACGGCAACATCCATATTCTGCCCGGAGTCCCACGGCTCTGTAAGACATAGCGCGTGGTCATTTTGAAAAGTGCGGCTGACTAACACGTCCGTAGTTGAGAAGCTCCTGGACGGTCTGAAGCCCGGCATCGTCCCCCGGCTTACGGATCCGGATGGCAAGGGTCTTTGCCGTGTGCTCATCTCCACCCCGCTCCCGGAGAGCGCCGTCGCCGGTTACCTGACCCAGCTTGCCGCAAAGGTGGAGCCGAAGGGCGTCAAAGTCGGCAGCTATCCTCGGTGGGAGCAGAACGGCACCGTAACCTTGGTCGGAAGGTAAGCTGACATTGCCCGGGCGGCATCGAACTAGCTCAATCTCATCCCTCGAGGCCCCGCCCAGATCGTGATAAACAAATGCTAATTGCTTCGCAGGGACCAGGCTTACATCGAGAGCATCGTGGATGAGGTTGTCGCGGGTGTCAACGGCAAGCGTGTGTATGTGGAGGGCGAGGATGATTCAGCCGCCAAAGCAGGCAAGCCTCTCGAGTAATTCCAGCAGCCAGCCCCCAATCATTTAGATAGTGACCCCCACGATCCGAAGAACGTGGTGTCGAGATGCGGCAATTACATGTCCTTGTCGGGATTTCCGGCTGCAACCTTGTCATCTCAATTATGTGGTCGTAATTCTGCTCAACCATGGATGAGGCTGTTTTCCGTTCCACGAGAGTCTCAATAGTCCGCTGCTGGCCAACCGTCTGGATGAGTCGATGCCGGCCTCTTCGGTCTCTAGACTCAGGCTAGTCGCCGTATTTTGGTGTAGGCTGCCGCAACAACGCCCGAGTCGTCCCGGCCAACCTGGGAAGGCGCAGAGACCGCACGTGGGGACGGTCCTCGCCGAACCTGGCAGTCAATTTCGGTCAATGTGGAGAAAGACGTGGACTTTATCGCAGATCTTTTGACGGCAGCCGGAGACGATAATTCGCACAGACTGACTCGACGTCGCAGGCGATTGATCCCGTAATTCTAACCCACAATCCAAGGCAGACGCGCCATCCAGCGCTGCTCTTCGTATGGAGGAAGCGATCTCCATGACGCCCATGACAAGCGTGCGTATCCGTAACGCTGCATGCTGACGCGCAGGACCCTTGCCGGACGCGTCGCCGTCGTGGCCGCACCGTTGTTGCCACGCGCCGGCTGCAGGCTGCGATGCTGCAGCAAAGTCAGGGGTTTGACTCGAAATGATTCCTCCAGGGCTTCTAGAAAACCCGAGTTTGCTGCAGCCGCTGACCGCGCTCACCGTAAATCGCCAATAAGATGATGCACGAAGAGCGAGATATGCGTCCCGGCTACCTACCGATTGGAGACTGGCTCCGTTTCGGCGGGAGATGAGTGTGGGTTAGGACCGGTGCTATCTTTGAGGTCTTGGACGAACGCTCGTCAACGTTTGGCTGTGGCTCCGTCGCGTGACGGCAAGATGGGGCCGCTTCTTGCGGATCCTTATCGACGGCTTGCTCTCTCGCACGGGAGGAAACCTCTTGAGACTTCTGGCAACCGCTTCGGCCACGCTATGCCTGTTGCATCGAGTCAGCCGAATGTGAAGACGTGATGGGAGGTCAGTGCATGCTCCACAGAGGCCAGACTGCGAATACAACCCAGTCGTTGCATTGTCACCTCCAAAGACATGGATTGGCTGTCCGTCTGTTTGGCTATCGGGCATCTCATCTCTTCCAGCCCTTGTCGCACTGTGCGTTACCGCAACCATGAGGTCGTTTTCCCATGGTTCCGTCCGGGCACCACAGGAGCCAAAGATGAAGCACGGTTCGTGGCCAGGCCGATGCTTGTGCGACGGTCTTGGAGCGGACGAAAGGACGGCGTGGCAGCTCTGGACGCCTCCTGTCCATCGGGCTTATCAACATGGCAGTGCTCCTGATAATCCGTCGCGGCCTTGACCGTCTTGGGGCTTGATCTTAGAGTCAAGCCTTCTAGAAGCCAACGCAATCTCAGCAGGCCCTGTCGTCTCGAAAAGTGCGCTAGGTCGTTCTTCGTGTTAGTGCCGACGCCCGAATCCGGGGCACCGACAGTGTTGTCCAGGCCAAAATGTTGTCAAATGTCTAAAGGATCCTGTGAAACGAAGAGATTGTGGGCCAACGCTCGTTCAAAGACATTTGTTTCATTAGATAATCCTTCGTGGAGCGCGGCTGGCGACAGATAGAGGGTTGTTAATATGGCGAGCGGCCCATGCTTGTGGTGACCTGCAGCGTTGTTCAGGTGTACATTACACAGTCATCCCCAGATGGCTGCCGAGAGTTCCATGGCCTGAGATTGCCCCTAGTAACTCCACTTAAAGGCATGGCATGGGAAAGTTATTGAGAGGGCGAAAGGAAGAGACCTGAGCGCAGCTTTTTGAGAGATCGACGCGAATGCTGGTCGACGGGCTCGAGGTCGTGATCTGCGCTATCTTACCGGCTGTGATGGCTAGTAATGGAAAAGCAGCCGTACGCGTGTAAAGCGCCATGGACCATGGACTCCGGCGCTTTGGCTTTGGGTTGTTGACTCTTCACAAGTCAACAACGCCATCGTGATGAATGGTGGATCACAGAGCTCGATGGTCTGAAAGCAAGCGCGCACCGAACTGGACGTCCTTCGGGCGGCGCATGGACGACGGCTTGTAAGATCTGACGGCTCACGAGGCGTGGCTGGCGGCTGTCTGACGAGAGTCGCAGCGCAGTCAAGGCGTTCTGGCAGCCAAGCACAGCAAAGTTGAGATGTCAGGGCGAGGCGAAAATGGCCGATATCCGGATGGATGGCCGCAGGGATGTCATTGAAGGCTACACAGTTCCGGTCTGGAGTTTGAGGTTTTGTTGCGGCGAAGGTTTACCAGACTGACGTTGACAATCCATGCACGCTCCAACGCGCCGCGCCATTGCTTCTATGCGGCTTTGAGCAGACGCACGCTCGACCTCTGTGTCATTAGGAATTATGACAGAAGCTGCCCAGCACTTCTGTTGTATGGGGTGCAGCAGCCCATGCTCTGTCGCGCCGTTGAAACGGGCAGCTTGAATGGCTCGCTAATCAACTGCAGCAGCTTGGAGGAAGTTGAATGGCTGCAGTTATTTACCCCGTCGATGACAGGCATCGGGCACCGAGAGCATCATATGCGAAGTGTAGATCACCGCCGCCGTACCGTGTGGTGTGGGGCTGCGTACGGTATCCGAAGGTGGGCAGGTAGGTCCGGCGTTGTAAGCCGACTCCGGTATCGAATTTCAACATCGGCTTTGATATCAAATCAAAGACTGGTGTTTCTGGTGATGGACATGGTCGCCGCATGGCGTGGATTGGTATCAGCATGGTAGAAGCCAGGAGCCTGGAACAACAGCTAGTGGCCTCCGATGCAGGAGGGTTGTCCTCTTTGCACGAGCTTCGTTCTTCTCCCTTCTGCCGGTTCGACCGCATGCGGCCGTGTTGATGCTGCGGTGCAGTCAGGGGCGATGGCTGAGCAGATCCAAGCCTCGCGAGTGTTGCTCGAGTGGCCGCATTCGCTCTACTGCCCGAGGCAGCACAGTAATCTCATTCACGACGGGCAGTCGTTCGCGACGTGACAACGCTCAGCATATCAAATAGTTGCACTGCATTTCCGTCCGCGTCGCCGTCCTGCATCGACACAAGGCAACTTCAGATGGGCTGTGGCACGCGATGCGGAAGAGTCGGCGAGCGTGTTGAGCGTTCCAACGCGTCGTCCCTTGCATCTTTGCAGCCGTGGCACGTCGTGGAAGTTCCTTTGTCACATTGCCGGGTGCGGCTCGAGGGCTTGAAGCAGGCCGTCGGCACGAAGCCGTCTTTGTCGGTCTCTGACGAGGGGCCGGTTCGGGATGACAGGCCAGGAATGACTGGAATGAGGCTGGCTTCACAGGCGGGCTGGGCAAACACGATCGCCACCAGTTGACATACGAGATCGGTAAGACGGCATCCCAGCCCTGGGCGGGATCGTGTAATATTCGTAGCGCAAGCCGTGTGGGCAACACGAGAGTGACGAACCTTGTCGCGGTTGTCAGCCGCACAACGGACATCCACGTGGGCGTGGGGAATGCAGAGGGCGGCTCAAGTGGTGAGGTGAGGGTGCGAGATTGAGAAGGAGGGCAAGCAGCAGATGCAAGCAGATGGATCCGTAGTCCAGGTGGTGGCGATTCGAGTGGAAGCAAGCAACGACTGGCGCAGGTACCGGGGACGAGGAGCAGGGAGCGGTTGAAGCTTGTTGGGGGCTCCCAAGGCTCTTTACGCATTGAGAGACAGCGGACAAGGTTCGAGATGTTGGCGACGGCGAGGGGGGTTTTGACGAGATTTCCAGGATGGCCAAGGGGCCGGCGAGGCGAATTTGGACGATGTTGGGGCGAACCTGGGAAAGTCGAGCCTTGATTGTGCTTCCAGAACTTGGCTCATGTTCGTGTGCAAAGTAAAGTTAGCCACCAATACCTTACTTGGTATTTTGCCGCTTGCCTCGGGAGGGTTCGATCGATGTAGCCGGCGATACCACCACCACCACCACCGCAAGAGATGGAGGTCTGGCCTGGGCTGCCCCTGAACTGGTGTCAAGCATTGTGGTTTTGGATCATTGTTCGTGGTGTTGATCCGCGGTCAGCGGGAGAGAAGTTGCATCAGTGATCCCGGGCGAGACGACGTGAGAAGTCGCGACACACTGTGACACACTGTACGCACAGTGCCAGCTTGAAAATGGAAAGCACGTTTGGTCAGAGCTCTCGTCTCCTGGCTGCTGCAGGAAGAAAAGACAGGGAAGGAAGACATGGCAGGGAAGGCTCTTCTTTGAGGTATCCACACCCAAGTTGCCCGGGGATAAGGCAGGTGCCCCTTTAGCTACATACGGCCATGCCCCTGACCTCCCGCCCCAGACCATCGCCAATCGACAAGGCACGGGAGAGTGGATGGGTCGGGAAGCCCTTGAGCCCTGGATGAATGTTTCCTCATTATATCCGTACTCCGCAGTGGTCAGCACCTCCAAATGGTAGAGAGTTGATGGCAGCTGCTCTTTGTGTGTGGTATTGCAGGGTGTCTCTGGAAGACGGATGCTGACCATGACGAGACGGCTCCGGCATGGGTGATTCGGTGGGCGAGTGCGTGCAGGTCGCACGAGAGCCGTATCAGGTTGCACTTCTTCCTTTCGTCTCTGCCGCCTCCATTCCTCCAGGTGGCACTTAGGCCGCTGGGTAAAGTCGAAGCGAAGGAGCACCCCAGACGAGGGCAAGAAAAGGCGGTAATGAGGAGCGCTCTCTGTCACCAGTAGAGTGAGATGAACGGACGCAGAAACCGAGGAAGGTCACCTCACCTCACCTCGCGTGTTATTAAAGCAATCAGCGAAGGTGGGGCTGTAGGACGACTGGATGCGATATGTCTTTTTGGAATCCGTACTGCTGCAACTACTGTCGTGTCGCGGTGACGGGGGACATATACATAGTATGAGATGACTGAAGAATTGGGGGCGGACCCGAGTGCGTAGTCCAGTCCCTGTCGCGCCACGTTGTCACCCGCAGGAGACAGTGTCTGTTGCATCATTGAGGATGAGGTGCTTCTGTCTCTTTTTTCCATGCATCGCGATCTGGGTGAAGAGACGGCAGGCTGCATTATCGATTTCAACAGCTGTTAGATGCATACTAGCGACGCTACTTGGGGCATACCTTCGTAAGGTAATACTGTGTACGGATACCGCAGTAGGCATCTGTCTGATAAGCGCATACCCCCACCTCTCCGCCCCCTGTCCCGATTTTGGAATTGCCGCTGCAGTTCATTGAGTCTTGGGCCCCTGCCAGATCGGTACGTATCGCACTTGACCCTGTCTTTGGTCCATCACCACGCGCCTTGGGATGCCCCATCTCTCACCTCTCTCACTTGCATCTCCCAATTCGAGTTGCGCGAACCGCAGTCACCCACTCACACAACTCACGTTGCGCGCCCCCCTTGAAGTCTTGGACCCCCTCGCTCTTTCGCCGCTGAGTGAGAGTCTAGTCTGCAGGCGTCTGCGCCGGGCCTCTTTTTATGGTTCCAGTCCCCCCCTGTTCCTGCCGACGCTACTGCACGAGAAGCCCGCCGCGACAAACTTGCCCAGGAAAGTCCCTTTATTTTTTTGCTCTTTATTTTTTTTTTTCATCCCCGGTCGTCAAATGCCATTTTCCACTCGAGCCATCTCGGTACCCGTACCTACAGCAAATCGTCCAATTCTTCTGGTGGCCCTCTCACTCTGATTCATCTGGAAATGGCAGGCCATTCATCAGCATGGCGACACGCGGTTGCATTCGGTAGTGACTGGCAATTCAACCCCCAATCTCGCATCTCCAATGTTCCATTCACATTCATTCCCATGCCAGCATCCGTGGCCAGCCCCCCCTTTCCCAATCCTGAATCCTCCCTCTTCGGAGCTCGGCCCATGCAAGCTCTCAGTCAATTGGGCATTATTGTTGGCGCCATGGTCGCAATAGCGCTTCCACCCTTCAGATGCCTATCGATTGTCACATATCCGTCAGGTATGTACCCATAGCTTGGTGTATCCTACCTCGACAGCAGCGAGTGGTGAGAGGAGAGCTGTTGCTGCACTGCACATGTGGTATCCATGGTTATGTGCGAGTGTGCGTGGTGGGTGTGCGCCTCGAGCGTGCCTGGACCGTCTGCAATTGTAGCCGTCAAATCATAGCCTCAGCGCTAAACGACGAGGGCGTGCCGACCAACAGCATCTACCCAGTCTGACTTGAGGGGCGAGACAGCGACTAATAGGAAGTCAGTGTGCCTGGGTAAGGTGCAGCGAGCGAAGCAGCGCTTGGTGTGGCAGAAGCCGCGCGCATTGGGTCTGCCGTCTCGTCTCATGAGGTCTCATGGGAAGAGGAGGGGGGGCATAGAAACCTGCCGACTGAGAGGAGCCCAGTGTCTCAAGACGGTACCGTACTGTATCGAGAGCGAGACGGACAGGGAACCGTTTCTGGACAAGGTGAGGAAAAGAGAGAGCGACGAGCGAGAGACAGGACGAGAGAGGAGAGGAGGGAGTGGACGACGCAGAGAGGGAGAGAGAGGCTTTGGACGGACGGATGCTGGGGTCGGGACATGGAATGATGGAAGTACCTGCCCACCTGACGATCTAAGGCAAGGTACATCATCATTCCTACCTTAGTGGGAGGGCCTAAAAAGCAAGGAAGCTGGGCAGCGGAAGTCACCTAGGTCAAGGCTTTTGGGAAGGTACCCGCTGGCTGCCGCGAGGTAGGTGGCTAGGTAGGGAAAGAGGCCCCAGAACACTGCGATTTCCGCCGTGCAGCAGCTTGCAGGTGCAGGAGCAGCAGCAGCAGCAGCAGCGAGCACTCGCAGGGCAGGCAGGGTGGAAGGAGCAGGTACCCCGGTATCTACCTAGCACCTAGCACCTAGCAGCTCTTAGAGTGGTGAGCTGCACCTGGCAGTGGAGTGCAGTGGAGGGGGCTGCCCTGGGTAGCCACACTTCCCGCTTAGTGCGATACCTTAGGTAAGGTACCTCACCTATCGCCCTCGCTCGCTCTCTCTCCTCTCTGCTCTCTCACTGGACCGACCAGACACTGGACCGACCCGTTCCCCCCATCTCCACATTTTGCCAAAAAGCCCCCCTTAGCAACGAAACACCACCCCATTCTCTCGTTCTCCTTCTCGAAAGACTGTCTGCTGTCAGTCCCGGATTCCTGCCATCGAACCTCGTCGTTTCACTTTTAAACTTCGCAATCCGGCCTGTGCCGTCCCAGATTCCCACCCGTCGTTTCGCTCGCTGCAAACCCGTCTGAGGACCGAACAGAAAGAAAGAGACCATCCGTCAAAGAGTCCAGTTGCCAAATCGATCGCCATCTGGTCCTTTCCCCAATCCGCCTGGCTCCTCCTGACTTGCCATCCGGACTCCAGCGTCGCCTAAACATCTTCGCTTCAAGCCATCAACAAACGCCGCGAGGATACCAAGTCGTCATCTCCGACATCCTCATTAACAATCACACATCACAATGGCCTCCAAGGTGAGTCGTCCTCGTCGTCGCGCCCCGTCGCCTCCCTTCTCTCGCCCCGGAGATCGCTCGCTAACCCCATCGCCCTTGCTCGCAGTTCTTGAGGGAGTACAAGCTGGTCGTCGTCGGCGGCGGTGGTGTCGGTAAATCCTGCTTGACCATTCAATTGATCCAGAGTCATTTCGTCGACGAATATGACCCGACAATCGAAGGTGCGTCGCTCGTCGCTCTCAGCCCCATACGCGACCGCGAATCAATCGCGTGCTAACATCGCCACCCTCATTGCAGATTCCTACCGCAAGCAGTGCGTCATCGACGAGGAGGTCGCTCTTCTCGATGTTCTCGATACCGCCGGTCAGGAGGAGTACTCTGCTATGCGAGAGCAGTACATGAGGACGGGCGAGGGTTTCCTGCTGGTCTACTCCATCACGTCGCGACAGAGCTTCGAGGAAATCACCACATTCCAGCAACAGATCCTGAGAGTGAAGGACAAGGACTACTTCCCCATGGTCGTCGTCGGCAACAAGTGCGATTTGGAGGGCGAGAGAGAAGTCACACGACAAGGTACGATTTTCATTTGCTGCTGCGCCGCGTCGCTGCATTCTTTTCATCCCAATTTTACATCGATCGGCAACTGACCATCACAACAGAGGGAGAGGCTCTCGCCAAGTCTTTCGGCTGCAAGTTCATCGAGACATCCGCCAAGTCCCGCATCAACGTCGACAAGGCTTTCTACGACATTGTTCGCGAGATCCGAAGATACAACCGCGAGATGCAAGGCTACTCGACCGGCAGCGGCGGCGCCTCGGGCATCAACGGCCCACCGAAGCCCATGGACGTCGAGGGCGGCGAGCAAGAAGCAGGATGCTGCTCCAAGTGCGTAATAATGTGAGCGGTTTTCTCACGACTGCGGACAGAGAGCGGGAGGGGTAGTGGCGAACTGAGCGGCCACGGACGTGAAAATACCTGGACCTTGACTGGCCGGTGGATGCTGGCAAATGCTGAACGCACGGTTTCTCCGTCTGGACTCTCGGGCGGTCCAAGCTGGCCCAGGAGAGTCGGGCTCGAGAAGACATGTTGACGCGGGATTCAATGATCAAAAACTTGTTTGTGCTGCATCGGACGGGGAGTCGGGTTCTGACTTGCTGCGCTGTTTTGGAACGCGTTTCTTTCAAGGGCAACTTCATGGACATGACCGTGTCACCTGGGTTGTACGATGATGGCGTGGGGAGATGACGGTCCTCTGGCGAGGCCTCATCAGGAGCCATGGAGGGCAAAAATAGGGTAACGGACATGTTGGTTCGTCGGCCCGGAAATTGTTGGCCGCAAGACCTCACGAGGGGCGGACTCGAGATTCTTTACGCACTGGGAGGGCTATTTGAGACCAAACATCGGCTTGTCTCTGTCTCTTCTTTATATCGGTACTCCTTTTTTTTTTCTCTTTTCATACCTGTAATTTCTTCTTTCTTCCGAGACACCGCGAGGTTTTCGAGGTCAGAGTCAGTGGTCAAGTCATACAAATTCCCTTGTCGTTAGTTGAGCCAGAGATTCCGTCTGCTTTGAAGTTCATGTGATGTTGACGAGACGGCATAGCTGCTATGGTGTACGCCCTGATGCGAGTAAGAAGTCTTGTGATATTAGAATACCGTCTTTAATAGCATTGGTGTTGTTTGTCAAGATTGAGTGCTGAGGCGTAGAGCGACAGCTCCCATCTCATACTATCACAACAGGTGAATGCTCGCAGCCATCTCAAAGACCATAGAGTGAAGGACGGTAATGAAGATGGATATAAGTGAGGTCAAGACCTATAACCCTGTTCGAGGTCGTTGAAGTGGCTCTCAGCCTGCCTCTCAACAACTCCGATGTCAGTTTCAACCACTCACACACCTGCGCAGCCCAGCCTCATTAGCTAATGCAGCCAACCTCATGCGAGTAAATCTCAACGGCCGTCTTCCGCCTGCAAAACACGACGAGACACCAACCACAAGCCCAGGAAATTGTCAGAAAAAAACGAGGATTGCTTTCTTTTTCCAACACCATCATCCGAAACACAAATGCAAGCCTCCAGTCTCATCACTCACCGCCATGGTGGTATCACTAACAAAAACGCAGGAAAAAATAAGTCTATCCGTGGGAAACCCCCCTTCCTATCCAATCCTGACCCAGACACACCAACGGCGTCTATTCCGCCCAGAGTCAACCTGTCGCCATGCTCCTTCCATATACAGGTCCGTCGGGAAATCTAACCCGCAAGCACACCGCAGTCCGCCTACCCGATCATGGCTTGTGTTAACAGTGCCACGTCCACGCCCTCAGGCCTCCAAACCTGCTTGGCCATCGTCATCGGCTCGATGTTCCCAAGCATGGTCTCAATCCCATCCCTCAACTCGGAGGTCCACGGCTCGACGACGACACCCTGGCAGTTGAGGCACAGATACACCAGGCTCTGGTTCATAAAGTCGTCGACCGTCTTGGCGGCCTTGTGCCCGTCGTCCCCGCGCTTGCAGAATAAGCACGCGTCGGGCCCGAAGTTGGTCAGCGCCCACTCGGACGTGAACATGGTGTGCACCATCATCTCGCGCGCCATGCGGAACCGGTGGTGCATGCACACGCGCCGGCCGATCAGCTTCTCGGCGCACATGCACCCCGTGACCGGGTGCTCCGGCTTGCCGATCACGCCAAAGTCCGCCGTCTGCTTCTCGCGGTCCGAACACTCGCGGCATGCGTACGCGCGCATCCGCAGGAACTCGGCCCGGTTGAGCGGCTGCGTGCCCATGAACAGGCTGCGCCGGGTCTTGAGGTCGCACCCGTCGCAGACCATGTACGGCGCCGGGCGCGCGGGCATGTGCTCGAGGCTCTCGCAGGCGGCATTGTTGGCCACGGCGGCGCCGCAGACGTTGCCCGTGACCGGCTGCATGTTGAACTCCTCGCAGGTGCGGTTGCGGGTGTCCACGGTGACGAGCTGCTTGGCCGCGTCGGGAATGGAGGCGAGCGCGTTCCAGACGGGCCGCTTCCACTGCAGGAGGTTGTTGAAGACGTGGTTGTCCCACTCGTTCTTGGGCCGGCGGGCGTGGGGGATGCGGTTGGCTTCCTCGGCGCTGGCGGGTGCGTCTTCGAGTTGCAGGAGAATCCGCGCCGGGGGCGGAACGAGCGCGGTGGCGGGGAGGTCCGTCGTGTACTCGGGCGGCTTTATGTTCCTGAGCTCGACGGGCATGAAGCGGTTGTCTTGCATGAAGGTGGTCATTGCTTGATAGACGTGTTGTCTGATGATGCCCTGGTATTTGTCGTCCGCGACGGCTTGGCTGCTTATATTCTGCAGCTCGGGGTCAATCACGGCGTCGGCGACCGCCGCGGCGTCCGCGTCGGTCATGACCAGATCTTGTCCGACGATCTGCTTGATCTGCTCCAGGTTCTGCGGGGGCCCTTCGAAGGGGGGCATGACCTGAGGCTGCGACGGAGACTTGAAGGCGAGGGAGATTTGATCGGCGTGGTCTCCGAGCCAGTCTTCGAATAGTTCGCCGTTATTGATGGCCTCGAACGCGGCGTTGTTATCGCCAAAGAACTTGTTGTTGCCTGGCTCCGGCGTGTTGACCAGCGTCGTATCCCCCTCGAGGAAGGAACTCGCCGCCTCAGGCGAGGCAGCTTGAGGCTGCGCTTTCTTTGGGGCTTTGGTGCGTACCTTCTTCGGCGGCTTTTGCGGTTGCGCAGCCGGGGGCTTGTTCTTGGCCGACCGCATCGGATTTCTTCTCACCGGAGCCGCCTCCTCCCCAAACTGCCTTGGTGGCGCGGCCACCGGTGCCGGTACTGGCGCCGGGGTAGGCTGTAGCGAGATCACCCCCATTCCCGGATACATCGCCTCCTGTCGCCGGGGAGGCGGCCCCGGCGGCGGTTCCTGCACAATCCAGCTCGGCCGGTTCGGCCCCACAAGCGCATCCGGCCGCGTGCCCCATCGGGCCGAGTGCACCCCCTGCGGCCCGTACCCGAGCGCCATGTAGTAATCCGCCGAGTCGCCGCCCATCACCGCGTCGCGGGGCACGCGGCCGCCGCTGGTGCCGGGCGCGAGAAAGTCGCAGTTTGACCCGGCGCTGACGCAGCTGTCGCAGGGCCTCTTGCGGTCGCAGTTCCGGTTGAAGTGGCGGCACTCCGTGCAGGCGTGGAAGACGTGCCCTTTGTCGGTCGTGGTCCGCCGCCAGCCGATGGCCTTGCGGTCGGGGTGCGGCAGGGTGACCTCCTTGCCGTCCCGCTCGACGATGCAGGTGAGGCCCCACGACGTACACTTTGTGCACGCCAGGTCCGGCTGGCCTTCCATCCCACCGCAGGTGTACTGGGTGACTTTGCAATTGGTGCATCTCTTATCCCCGATGCGGCGGACGGTCCCCCCGGTGGCCAAGAGTAAATCGTTGCCCGGGCCGGGCCACTGGTACGGATTGGTATACTCGCGCCTCGTCCACGGGTCGAGACACGGCCGGTTCTTCTCCACGCACGTCAGGCACTTATACTCGCCCAGCCGCACATCGTTCGTCCACGAGCACGGCGTCCAGCTCCTCTTCTTCGACAGCTCGGCCACGCACTCCCCGCAGGTATGCCGCCACCACGGCCTCCGCCCGGCGACCAGCTCCCCGTCATACGGCATCGGGCGGTTCCACATCTGCTCCCACGGCTGCACCGGCGGCGCGTTCGCGTCGCCGTCCGCGCGGCGCTCGTTGTACACCTCGCACAGGCGGCCCTCGTTCCGGCACTGCGTGCACCCGATCTTAACGGCGGGGTCGATGTCACAGTACGTCGGCTTGGTGAAGCCCGCGTTGCGGCGCTCCTTGCAGCCGACGCAGCTGCTCGCCTCGGGCAGGTTTGTCGGGTACGTCGGGCGCGAGTTCTCGAAGCGGCGCTGCCAGTACTCGCCGCCGCGCACGCGGCACACGTGGTTCGGGTCGCCGAGGTTGCGGAAGCGCGTGCACTGCGAGCACTCCATCTGCTCGGCGTGGTTGGCGTCGCAGTCGCGGCCCTCGTTGTTGCCCGCGAGGCAGTGGTCGCAGTAGCCGTTGTCCGGGTTTGAGAGCTGCGGGCGGATGCGCTGGAGGGCCTGGACGAAGACGGCGTTTGCGTCTGGACCCATCTGTTTTCTTGCGCGCTTGGGGGCTGGAGGGCCGTCTTCGTCTTCTGTTTCGTCGTCGTCGTCGTCTTGGGGGTCTTGGCCGTTGGCGATGTCCTCCAGCATGCGTTTGCGCTGGAATTTGGAGTATTTTGGGTCGAAGATGCAGTTTCTCTTGAGTTTGAAGCATCTTGTGCAGGGAATGCTGCCGCTGCAGCTTTTCTTGAGGCGTAGGCAGTTTCTACATGATTTGTTGTATTGTTGTCCTTGTTGCGATTGTTGTTGCTGTTGCTGTTGCTGTTGCTGCTGTGCTGGGTTGTTGAGTTGTTGGTTATGTTGCTGTTGCCCCTGTATCTGCTGCCCTTGGATCTGTTGTCCTTGGATTTGTTGCTGCTGCTGCTGCTGCTGTTGAACCTGTTGCTGATACATCCCAGGATGAAACGTATCCAGGCCAGCGAGGGGGTAGTTCGTGTTCGCATCTTGCAGGACCTGTTGCAGGTTGCCAAAGTCGCTCCCAGCACCCGGGTTGAGCGTAGCTCCCGGTTCGACATAAGCCTGCTGGCCTGGATCCGCCGGCTGATAACCGTACGGAGCATCATAATAACCGGGGTTCGCAGGCTGTGCTTGATACGGATCCGGATAGGCATTTTGATGTTGGTTTTGCGGGGGTGAGTTCGCCGGCGGGTTCCAAGCGTGCGGGCGCGGCGGGCCTCCATCTACAGCCCACGGATCGCTGTTGTAGTTGTTCTCATGCTGTGGCTGTGGCGGATCTGGTTGACGCGGAGGCTGGACCTGCACTTCTGGAGAGCTGTCTGGGCTCGGCGGTGTTGGGTCCCGTTCCCAAGTGGGAAGGGTGATGGTGTCTGGGACTCGACGGGACATGTCGCGCGCTCTGGGCGGTTGACTATCAGTGTTTCTTCACAAGTCTTTAAGAATGCGTTTTCAACGTAAGGCAATATTTGTGACGAAGGAAAAGAGAACTGGTAAACGGCCTATGGCAAACTCACGGAAAAGGTTGCCAACGTATGACGGCCCCCTCAAGTCATTTTATCTACATCCTCTGTGCAGTCATGGGCAAGGTTTCGTCGTCACGATGCTGGTACTGGACAAAGGCAAGGAACATTATTGCGCTCCCTTGTAGCATACACCCGTTCTTGGTTCTCAGGCCTTGACATGGAGGCCCGAATTAGGACAAAGCACGGGCTATGGCACCTTTGTCAGTCAATGTTGATTGTGCCTATTGTCGCCAACTCACCTCGACGGATACGGATCAAGGAAAGCATTCGGAGGCTCCCTGTGTAGTCGGGCTCAAGGAGCCTTTCATTCGTTTTGATTCTGCCATTGAAATGCCTTCATCGCTGGGATGAATCGGCTTCGAGACTTGGACGGTAAAGTGATGGCTTTGATGCTACTAACGGCGGCTATGTTCATGAAAATCGTGCGACGATCCAGCCCAGCTTTATTTGTATGTATGGTTAATCTCAAAAACGCCTATGTGATTCAGGTATTCACTGCTGAGATCGAGATAGAAAGTGTTGGAGTTGGACAGATGAGAACCTCAGTGAGAGGTGCGTTGGTCAGGTTGGGCAAGGACATCCGAGAGGATGATGTGTAACACCATGAACGAAGGATGTATGCCGAAGGGCTCCGCCAAACTGACTGAGCCTCCTCTAGGAGTCTCCCATACCGTCTGGAGCCGAGATAATTCACTAGACTTGTGTGCGTAAAAGATCGCCATCTTCCAATTGAAATCAACCAATGCCAACAGAAACATAAATGTGGCAAAAGACTTTACGATGACTTCTCGGGTCTTCAGCCGAAGCTTCTCCGGCATTTGAAAGCCATGCTGCGTGGACCTGTCCCGGAACCAAGGACAACTTCCGCAGCACACAGACGAACGTTTACGCCTCCAGAGGCTGGTAATCCACTGCGTCCCCATGAAGATGCACACTCCTCTCTCCGCCGACCCGGATAACCTGGGCTCGGATGGGGCGTCTATTTGAGAAGTCATGGCATTGCAAGACGATAAGCATCGCGTTGTCGATTTTGGTGTTCATCACTAGCACCGCGTTCGTTGTTACATGGTCAGTAGCCAAATCTGATATCTAGGGTGGGGTTAGGGTCGCGAGCTATGCTGCAGCGGCACCGTTCATACTCATGATTTTTGGTGCAGTTGTAACGAATCAGAACTTCTAGATGTCTATGAGACGGGAAATCGTCACAGGGTATAGGAAGTGAAATGAGTATGGGGACTGTAAAAAGATGTAAATGTTCGCGAGGTAAAAAAGAATCCAGATTCGATAAACATGATTTGAAGCGTTTGCCAACCTGCTTCAGCCTTTACTGATACCATCTTAACCATGCTGATGACGTAGCGGGACCCTTTTGTGATGAAATAGTACATCTTTGAGTAAAAGAAGACGCAGATGCTGATTCATGCCGCTACTCAAAATCAAAACATTACTATCTCTGCCTGATTTCGAGAGAGCGCGCAGAATCCACCTCCCCGCCATGCCCTGCCTCAATATCACGAAGAAGCAGGGCTTGGTCGCCACGATCGCCATCTAAGCCAGCTTCTTCGTCGCCAAGCTGACCGTCGGGTTCCGCACGGGGCCGCTCGCTCTGGTTACGGATGCCTTCCACTACGTGCCTCTGTTCACTACCCAATTCTCTTATTTCCACCACCTATCCCTCTTTTGTGAACCGAAACGTATAGCTGACTGAGCTACTGCGCAGGAACACACGGATAATGCCAGTACGGTCGACTTTGAGAGAAGGTCGGAACGCATCGTAGCATATCTACAATACCATGACATCGAAGCTATCGCCCTGCAGCCGACTTCATCGCAAACTCAGGCGCCGACGGGACCTCGTAGAAGGCACCCGGTAGAATAGATCATCCGAGTCCTCGGAAGCACCATCGTCTTGCACGTCATATGCCTTGAATAGTTATTTGCCGTTGTGTGTGAGGTTACAAGACTTCCCAGACTTGATCTACTTGCTGAAATGGCTCCGCAACGTGACCCTTGAAGAATCGTTGGCCTTCCAATCACAAGGCAGCGCATTCGCTCCCATGACCAATCTGCGGACGCAAGATATTCTCCTGCTCATGATTCGTCCTCATCCAAAGTCTCGTAGAGCCGAAAATAAACGGCTGCCTGGATTTTCTTGTTCTGACGTGGGACAGAAATGCAACCTTGACTTTTCAGTGGATGATGTGAGAATTCGAAAGGCAATATCTGCCAATCGCTCATCGCACCGCTGGCCAAGCCCCTTTTGCGTCGAGAGATCAGATGCAGCCTATGAACTGTGCCGTCGGTCAGCTGCATGGATTTTGTGCCGCCTTCGCCTCGACAAGGGACGAGAATAGCCCCGTCCTTCGGTGAAGATGGTGTTGAAGAGCGCGCGACAGGGAAGTGTATTCCATTTCGCCTGTACTGCTTGTTGATTGGAACAGGCCGCGAAGGAGGCGTCGCAATACGACTGTGGAATGCCACCGGTGAGTTCCTGGGCTCTGTCACCATCTCCCGCCGCCCCCCAGAGGCCGCGCTCACTTGAGATATGCCGAAAAGAGAGGTATTTGTAATTTGACGACGAACGATACCGCCACGCCGAGCTTTCAAGCCGCACTTGCCGGCTAGACGACTGCGGTGTGCGAGATGGAGTCGGGGCGACTTTCACCATTGGTCATCGCCATTTCCGACGATATCGCCTCACGATATCTGTATCTATGAAGAGTCAGAGACCCGAGGCCGTGGTAAGGCCCCTCTCTCTGCGGGGGATAGTGGGCGCCCCCGAATCCCGTGGGGGTCAATCTGCCGAACGGAAGTGGGTGCATCTGCAAGAGTGCTGTAGACCGCAACCCGGGTGGCGGGCAAAGATCTCCTTGGCGTTGTAGACCACGAGTAATTCGCCATCGACATCCTGGGCCTGGCGCATCTCCAGGTAGCCACCATCGTTTGGGTATAATTCGAAATGCCCCTTTCTGCCTCCTTTGATTGTACCTGATGTGGCGGTCACACTGGGCTCGTAGCTGGCAACGGATGGGCGCATTCGTTCCGATATTGAGAGTCCGGCCTCTGACGTCAAGGTCAAGGCATACATATTATCCGCTGTGACTCAACGTGCGCGCGCTCCTTGGCCAGTCGCACTCTCGGAATCGCAAACGTCGGTGACTGTACAAGCCGGGTAAGTTCACAGCCCTGACCAGGTTCTTCAGTATTACAGCCAGAGGTTCGATGGCCTCGTTCCCGTCGATGTCACTCAAGCTACGACCCAGGAGCGCAGTACGTATCAATCATCTTACCCAGTGGCTTATCTGGTCTTTCGTTTCCGACATGCCACTTTGAGAAAGATCATCACATTGCTCCCATAAGCCGGGCAGGGCCGGCCCGCGTGCTGGACGGATGGAAAAAAAGGACTCGGAGCGTAAGCAGAGGTTGCATCGACATGGGGATGTCAACGGCGGTCTCCAAAGAGGAATGGTTGGAAACGCGGTCGGGATTATCAGGGTCGGCTTCAATCATCAGAGACGAGAACGGGCGGTGCCTGCCGAGAGCGTGGTAACAATGGTCGCGCGAGTAACAATCCTGGTGTCGTTTCTGGAGATGCCAACCGAATTTCCCGGGTCGGTCAAATAGTGAGGCTGCAGCGAAACGAAAGATCCGATGGTGAATAGTGAACGACGATGCGACAGACATCAATATCGGAGAGCTTGACAAGGGGAGGTCTTCCATGGCTGATGTCACTGGGATGTTGACGACGGGGAACCGTTCCGCCGGGTGTGCGAGTGGCATGGCATTGTCTGAGAATGGGGATGGTGAATGGCCCGATAGGGGTTTGGCTTGACTCCGGGGTAGGACTCACCGCTGTCTTTTGCTGGACTAGGGGACAATAACTGGTTCAATATGTCCCGGGATTGTGGGAGGTGAGGTCATACCGCGAGGGCGAAGGTTTGCAGCCCGTCCGTTCGTCCTGTTCAATAACTCTGAGGTGGTTTACGACGGGCGTGCGTAGGTACGCCCGCTCTCACCGCGTGGGTGCTTCCGGCATCCGCCTGATACAAGCAGACCGCCGGAGATTGGAGGAAGCAGAGCAGCGAACCAGACTGATAGCACGAGCCAGGCGAAAGCCAAGGTGAGGCTTGCTTGCTAGTGAGAGAACTGCAAGGACGAACCAGCCTGCGACGGAAGGCTACAGACGAATCCCCGGAGAACCGTGCGTTGGTTCGAGTGCGGTACGGTGCCTTTGCGACGGCGTCGTGGCCGGGCAGCGAAGGCGCCCAAGAGCCAGGACGTCGGGCTCCCGACCCCTTCGCAGTTGACTGTGTCGGCCGGTGCCTGCTTGTCGAGGATAAACAATGCGAGCGTCGCGATTCGTAGATGATGGTCGTGCCCCTTCGGCAACAGAGGATTGCAAGGGACTGCGCCAGGGGGAGGGGTCTTGATCGAATGCCTATCGTGGAAGGTGCATCCAGAACAGCGACCTGATCGGCGGGCCCTAAAAGTTGACATGGGCTTTTGGCCTTGCACCTGGTCTTTGTGGTTTCTGAAGTCTCAACAATAACCCTTGAGGCAGGCCGCCGGGCACCGAAACCTGAGGGAGAGACGTGGCGAGGTTTCTGCTGGCCGGCGGCGCAAGTCTCATA